TTAATGAAAGATCATAGCCGAATGTCTAAATATACATTTCTTAACATGACTTGGTACTATCTTAATACGGCTACATATTACATAGTATTAAGTTGATAATTTGTACAATACATAGGTAAATATAACCATTGCATACACTTAAAACTGCTACGAGTCAAGGAATTCACGCAATAATTAATCGAAATGAACTATAGGTATCATGACGTTTTAAAATACGTAAAGAACTAGAAATTTATTAGGAGTATATAGCAAGTGTATATATATATAGACAGATACATATATTACCCGAGGTACATTCAAATATAATTATAAAGATAATACATAAATGAAATGGATAAATACGTCAAATTCGACACCTTACGATAAAATCATAACTGTCTTATCAATTATACAACAACTTCTACGAAAAGTTTAGGCACATACTAAGCTTACAAAGCTCACTCATTATTATAAGTATACGTATAATACACACATAGCTTGGAAATGTTCAATATATATATATAAATTAGAGTCCGAGGCTTATACATGCACAAGTAAAAGAATACAGATATTCATACATACTAATATTACTTACGAATAAATTGGACCTCGGGTGGCCCTGTCATACACTAAATAGTCCGCCCATACGTCCTCATCAACTCAACAACTAAATGACATTATCGGTCATAGTGACACGACTCATCTTTGAACTATGAGTTAATGAACACAACTACGTAGTACACACACTATAATCATATACTAACGGTCGCACTTAGTGAACGTTTAGACATTATTGTTATCTTTACTAATATCTATGGAAATTGGGATACGCAACCGTTTAGTGTATTTGGGTTACTGAAGTCATTCCGATGGCCAAGAAAAATATTTATTAGTGTACTCAATATATGTGGCTCAATGCAAAGCCTAACACTGGGACCGGATATATACGTTTATATTCAATATATGGTCATAACCATGTCACATTCGGTTGTGTTATAGCCATTCATATGATGGTATATATATGTAGAAAAAATTATTGCCGAATATTTGGCATAGGGATGAGAAGATAGGAATATTTGATATAAGAATGGACTGGCTAGCTAAATTTGGTCTGCGAAATTCGGTATTGACGGTATTTATTTTGGATCATCTTTATGATTTTCATTTGAAATACTCAAGTAGACCACGTAAATTCCAAAATATTGGTTTTAGAAATGGAAATATACATACACTAATTTTAAAACTATATATTTAGGCATACGTCTATTCCTATATAATGCCCGAAATGAAATAGGTACAGTATAATTACACTAATACGTTTACGATGTCAACCATGCTATGAGACGTAGTGAAATAGATAATTGTTCGAATACGTAATTACGTTTTTTGTTTTATTTATGTTAAAAAAAATGAATACATAAGGAAAATCGATTTTGTTGTTGGACCATGCACTGTCAAATATAGCAATCATGTTAGGTGTTACCAACGAAATGACCAGATATATTTAGTAAGGGTAGTTTACAACGGTGTATAAATCTACAATTTGCATTTTGAAAAAGCATATCAACAGGATGCACACTGAGGCCTACATATGAAAAGGACAATGTGGTATTTACGACATTATTTTTATTTTTATTTTTACTATGATAACAGTATGCATGTAAACGTTTAACGTATTTTACGTTTACACCTTCCAGATACTATTTGAAGTAGAAGTTTGATTTTTGTTGTTTCTTTTATTTTTTAATATAATTGGTTTTTATTTTAATTATAGAATATGATACAGTACTTTTGTCTGCTTTTACAGTTGAAGTGTAGGTCTTGCCTCTGAATATTTTGTATTTTACGACATGTATATATTTTTCAAAATCATATAAATTTTACGACGATGCAGTAGCCCCACCGTCCATGTAGGATACTCGCATTGTATTTTCTTTATTTGATTTTTAAATTTAAACAAGTCGATATACTATATATACTCGTCGGAAGACCAGACTCCAACTTGGCGGGGCTGTGGACAAAGTACCCTAGGCGGATATTTAGGACCGGATCTGAGGACCGGACCTTACAGAGGAATTTAGGACCGGACCAGAGGACCGGACCTAGGAGAATATTTGAGGACCGGACTAGAGGACCGGACCTATGGGATTATTTGAAGACCGGACCAGAGGACCGGACCGATGAGTGGAATAGAGAATTTAATGATATAGAAGTGATGACTCATCTGAAACCATAGAGACGGGTATTTCATATAACCCGATGGTACAAAAAGTCTCGTTCCACATAGGATCGTGATTAATAAATATAGCAGGCGCGCCATTCCCAATGGCACTTCTGACTGAGTTCACTTATTTCAGACTTAACACTCTTTATTAAGTGTTACCTTCGTCGAAGACATTCAATGTGAAGTATAACATATGATACTACGGTATCATTATCATTTATCCATTTATCGCCCTATACATTATGGCATTCTGTCCTTAAATATATTCTTATATTTGTGATTTGCTAGGTTGTATTTTGTCTGTATGTATCGTGAATTTCAATCTGATGGGAAAGCATTTCTCAATAACTTGTATCATGTATGGTTATGACCTATTAATACTAACTGTATCAATTATTATATCATCCTATGTTTGTGGTCTATCTAGTCATTGGAATGTCTGAATGTTTATTATTTATATAACCTCGAAATGCGTATTGTTGTCGAATTCAATGTAATGTTAGAATCTATTATGGTGTGGTCAGATATACTCTATTTAGTTTATTTAACGTTTTTAGGTCTATTTGAAAAAGGGTCATAAACCCTGGTTTAGGGTTTATGACCAATTTTATACACTTGTCAAATATTAGAACCTATGGTTCATTTTAAAATTCAATAAAGATACAACGCCTCCCCTTATAAGAGGGGAATACGTTGTGATATTGTTAACTCGCGTATCTGACTACATTTTTAACAAGATTATTAGTTGTACTTTATTGAATAAATGTGATAACCGACATAGTCTAAAGAAGACAGAATAATAACCCATATTTTTTTTCGCTAGGATGAGAGCGTCAATATCAGGACAATGGAGAAACCCTTCAAGAAGTCACATGAGAGAGGGAAATACACCCATAGGACTGTCCACGACAGACCGACAGCTGGGAAGCGAGGATAGCGGGTTCGGTAGTAGTGAACTGAGCCTACCATCATTGTTGTCAAACTCAGGAAGCGACTCCGAGGTAGGCAACGAAGCAGAAGGCCACCCAAATGAAGAAATGAATCAACCCCTATACATGAGACGGCAGAGATCAGCCAGATGGTATATCTCTAGTACAATAAATAGTGAAGAGAGACATGAATACACGAATGTGTGGAGGAGACGACAAGCAGGACCTCCAGCGAGGTTACGACGAATAGTGAATGTTGGGACATGACCATGACGAGGAAATGAACGAAGAACACTGGACAAGGGAAGTTCGCTATGGACAAGGTAAGTCTCGATGGATAACAAGGAGACGTACAACAATACACTGAAATATAGGTGGAGTCTACAGGTAGATAAGTGTTGCTAGGAAGGTGTGAACATTAGTAATGAACAAATATGAAATAGTGTACATGAGGTGTGTGATAAGGGATCAGTAAATATTAGCGGTACGTATATGGAAGTGAAGCATTGTGTATTGGCATCGTATAAGTGTAACATACGATAGCGACTAGTTATGAGCAGCATAAGTGTGGAAGTAGAGGTGTGAGAAGAATACCACAAAATTCGATATGAGACACGTAATAGCATCACATTGTGGAGCATGCGCGACAGACCAGCGGTCAGCGAAGAAGTAAGAAAAGCAAGAGATGTAGGATGGGTGCTATAGAGAAAGAATAAGTAGACAACACGTACGCTCGGGACGAGAATAGTAATAGATAGAACGAGTATGTATACAGAAGAAGCACGTGCGACCATAGGGGGAGCATGAGTCCAAAGCAAAGTGTGATGAAGGAGAGCTACTCCATGCAATTTATCTGCACGTCTGGGAGTAGGCAAAGGTAATTGAGAAGTACATGTGTGTCAAGAGAGGTGCCATCCGTTGCATATATAAGTAACAAGTAAATAGGTTAGAGATCAATTATTCTCGACTTAGACATACAAGCACTGTAACCTTACTGCAATGCCGAGCACCCGTAAGAGGAGTCGTCAGCATGGTCTGGAACCCGAGCAACATGTACGTAGTACGAGCCAACTACGAGGTTTTAAGCGTAGAACGGGCTATCTCAAGAGTGAGACCAAGGGTTGTCTGAGGACCAGCGAGGGGAGGCAGACGAACCATTTCGGGCGAATCAGACAATGCTGCAGCAAGCTCTAGTGGCTCATCAGAACCGGTTGAGACAAGGCGAGAGTTCAGCACCGCCGAGCGAAAGCAACGAGTCATCACCTCCGAGCGCCTACACCTGGCAAGGTTGTGATAGGGGACAGGAGCGTCAGAATGACGGTGGCAGGGTTCTACACCGACAAGGACAAACTCGACCTCGCCAGAAGCTCAACACGTGAGCAATGCGCAATCCAAGACGGATCAGCTACTGCAGAAACAGCAAGAATTGCTGGATAAATATGAGCAGCGGCTGCAACACCTTCAGCGGCAGGCAGAGAGACCTCGAGGAGGTTCAACCACTATTTCTCCAGATCAGGGTCAGAAGGAGAGTATTAGTATCAGTCAGCCGCCGGAACCAGTTGGGGAGAATGAACGTTTAGAGTTCATGATTCCAGACAGTGCGGCTAGATGCGGAGTCGGATACCAAGGCCCCGCCCAAGAGATGGGACCTCACGACTCAGATACACCACGGGCAGCGATCTCCCTACAAGATTTTGAATGCGCAGCAAAGAGCAGCACAAGACCCTCATGGGCCGGAGGCGCTGGATAACCATCGGGATCGATTATCCGAGACGGTTCATTCTCAGCAACAGAATCGACGATTCGAGGCGGAGGCACTACGAGACTCGATACCCGAACACACGGTGTTATCGACCCCTACGACACAGGTATCCCCACCAACGGCTGGTGACAAGGTGACCCCTCCGACACCGGAGAGTATTGCGGCGGATTGCCAAGCGCTTCATGCGCAGATGCTCCGACTATCGGATGAAATGTGCAGAGCGGTTGAGGCAGATGATCTTCCCCGTGCCGGGGCGCTGAGAGGGGTGTTAGAAACCTTACGAGCCACACGTGACTCGCGCCCCGTAACCAAGCACGAACCACGAAAACCGAGAAGCTGGCCTGAATGGCCGTCGAACCGATACCAACTACACAATGTATTAGAAAGATACTACAGGAGCCCTGGTGGAGGCACTCAAGAATGTGCAGATCTCAGGCCTAGACACGGCGTGGAGTTTGCGGTGGGTTTACAAGGTTCTGAGCCACTTCAAGGCTGAGCAGTCTACTTTAGATTACATCAAGTCCAACACCAACGTTTGGTCAATTGGACTCCAGAGTTGCAGATAACACAGATCTGCTCCCACGAAACTCAAGCGACAGTCGACCCCACATTCCGGAAGTTGGCGAAGAGACACTCTCGGGTGTCAAATGTACCTATTATGGAACAGATGACACAATTAATGGAGAATCACAGACGTACCCACGAACGCAGCCATACGGATGCGGAATTCAAGCAAAGCCTTTTGAACCACTGCATTGTGCAGTTGTTGGAAGACTCCCTTGGGTCTCGGACATATGAGCGGACGCTACAACTGCACACCAAATGGCACTTGATGGAAACTCACGAATTGTTGCAGCTTCTCAGTCCTGATATTCAAGAAGCACAGACAAGAACTACGGTGAGGATGTCGAACCGACGACCACATACCAACGATCATCAACGGGGGGATGGGACGGTAACACGTACACCACATATGACCACTCCACGAGGGACACAACAGTGGCAACAGCGCACGCAACTGTCGAATACAACAACAACACGTGGCGGGTGCCAGGCACAAGCACCACCAGGGTTGAGGCACATTCTTCGCTGTCATAACTACAGGGCAGCGACCCAGGACAACCGTGGCTCCACGTCAGAGACACGTCAACGTGGCCCAGGACCACATAGTGCAGTAACACCTTGTACAACGATAACACCATCGGTTCCACCGGTACGGAGCGCGGGAGGCGACAACACGACGCAACCGCAGGTCCATAGTCTCACAGACACGTCGGCATGGGATACCCCACCTACCGCCACGGATCTACATATTGGAGTGCTGCTTTCTGGTGATATGGGGGAGCGTGATCCGACAGGAAACGATAAGATATCCCCATAATGGTCTCCCATATCAGATTAACCTTGAGATATCAGGGTGTCTGACGATGATATAGCTTTGACGTTTGCGTATGCAGGATACTCGGTACAGGCGATAAAAGACCCACTGTTAACAGCCGATCAACGGGTGTATGTTCAAGTTCAGTTGAATGGTCGCACATTCCGAGCCCTGGTGGATTCAGGCGGAAATTGAAGTTTTATTTCGCAGACATCCGCAGAGGCGCTAGGCCTTCCGATATCTCCGGCTCCTCCTGATTCATACATTTATTTGGCGGATCAAGCGGCGCGTACTCGGCGACTGGGGACGACGAAGAGCATCCCAATTAGATATGGAACGGCTATAGCTAACGGTTCCTTGGAGCTCATGAATCTTCCGGTAGGCATCGATGTGATCATCGGGGTAGATATCATGCCGGGCTTAGGTTTATACTTAGGAGGACTACAATCTCCGTTAGTACCTATGGATCCGACAGGGTTGGACAACTTACTGAAGCCGATCACTAGACGGCAAGCCCCAGAGTTAACCGAGCCTGACGGCATCTGGGAGGATCTGAAATCAGTATTAGAGACGAATGCAGCGATTACAGATAGCACACAAGTGAGGTGGCCATACCGGTCACTAGAGACCAAGCAATGAACATGCGTCGTTCAACTAGGAACTTTGTGTCAGACCGATGGATACCATACGTGGAAGAACAGGTGCAGAAGTGGCTACGAGATTTAGTCATTATCAAGCGAACTATTCTAACTACAGTGAACCTACCACTATTAGCGGTACCGACCTTTGATAGCGAGGGTAATGTCAAGAAGGTACGAGTTTGCCTCGATATGCGAGCAGTCAATGCTCTGATCCCAGGCGACCAATTCCTTATCCCCAAGGTGAACGAGATCATATCGCGGTTACGGAGCAAGAAGTATTATACAACATTGGATATCTCAGCAGCGTATCATCGTTTACCGATTCACCCAGATTCTCAGTACTTGTTTAGCTTCACCCATGGGCGCCACCAATATTCATTTACATCGGCGCCATTCGGTCTGCACGTTCTCACCCAGAAATTCCAACGGACGTTGAGCACAATCTTGGATGGCCTCCCCGTACACCATTACATCGACGATATAGTGATAGCGGGTGACGACTATGAAGAGCATAAGGCAACGGTTACAGGGGTGATTCGCCGTCTTACATATCATAGCTTCAAGTTGAATTCTGAGAAATGTCACTTTGCGATCAGGGAGGAAATGATTCTCGGAAAGAAGGTGTCAGCAGCAGGCATTGATATTGATTTCGAGAAGCAGGCGAAGCTGCTGGATTGGCCGACCCCGCAGCGTTATAAGGATATAGCATCGGCGTTGGGTCTTGCGAACTTCCTCCACGAACATCTTCCAAATTTTGCGCACATAGTAACGCCACTCCGAGAGTTCTGTAAGCTGAAACCTAACGAGTTGATTGGGACCAGGTGGGAGCCTCGCCACGCAGAAGCGTGGGCGGCTATGAAGACGGCGGTTGTTAACGCGGTGGCTCTACAGTTCCAAGTGGAGGATATTCCCCTGAACTTGGAGATAGATGCCAGTGACTATGGCATCGGAAGGGCTTTGTTCCAGTGGGTGGATGGAAAGAAGCACTACCTTATGTTCTTCAGTAAGACTCTTAATCAGGCACAACAGAATTACGCCACGCCAATGAAGGAACTCTTGGCGCTTGTATATGGGCTTACACACTTCCGAGAATTCCTCGACGGGCAACGATTCGCATCATTCCCGGACCATAAGGCGCTAGTGTATATGAATACACATTTGAAGTTGAATCCGATGCTACAACGCTGGCACCACATTATAGCCCCGTTTAACTTCACTATATCACACATTCCGGTAGAGAAGAATGTCCTCCCTGATATGTTGAGTAGGGTCCACGAGGGGACAACGGAAGGCGATATACCAGCAGTGATGTATGCCGATTGTTGGTAACTGTTCCCAAACCACTTCACACAAGCCCAGCAGATCTTCGGCCCAATT